AGCGCTAAATTCTAACAATTCGCTCTTTTGCCGCAACAGCAAATGAAACGAGTTGTTGGACTGTGGGATGCGTGCCACAATAGATTTGTTGTAACGGATTTGCCTGCTTTCTCCATGTGTTTCATGCAGGCCACTCAGATGTCGAATTCTTTCTCCCTTTCGTACTTGGATTTCTCCAGATATTCTCTCAGCCATGGGATGGGGGATGTATCTTGTTCTTTGGCTTTACCGTTTGGGTCGTTCTTCTTGGGGGAGATGTCCATTCCTGCCTGATTTCCGGGATCTGAGATCTTGACTGTTCCATATGTGAGGGGAATGCCTGTTCGTCGGTCTGAGTGGAGATCTTCCTTCAATGACTGGTCCGTTTCTTGTTTCTTCTTCTTGCCTACCCTGGTTGTCTGTGAGTTCTTTTTCGGGGGAGGCTTGTCTTTTGAGGGCGACTTCAGATTTGGGATACCGTTCTTCTATGATCTGTCTTGCTTTCTGGAGGTGCTTGTCGTCATCTTCTGGGTTTTGGAATAATTCAGCGGTTGGTCTTCGTGTTTTTTCTCTTCCAAGATCGCTCGGGGTTCGACCACTGGGTTGGAGTGGAATTTCCCTGGCAGGCCGGTGACTTTTTTGGCTCCTACCGCATGCCATTTGCTATCTGATGGGGGTAAGATATCTGGCTGTTTGGTTGCTGGTCTCGTGTGACTGTATGTCGAGATCCACGTTGGGTCCTGGATGGTATCGTCAAAGACCCAGCCATCATATTCTGGGTCGTTGACAAACCAAATGCCGTTGGCTTCTTCGACCTCGACCAGCATGTTCTGTCTGAGTTTTTTCTCTCTCGAGTGGTCAGGTGAACGGGGACATCTAGGGTCGGTTCCCAGATGGCCTCTCTCTCTGCACCGGAAGCAGATTGGGTTTGATTTCGTGGAAACCACCACGGTGTAGGATTTGTCGTCAATGATGCATTCCCATTCCTCTGAGAAGACTGGTGGCTCGGCCAGTTTTTCTTTGGGGTAACCCCATGCAGTTGTTTCCTCAATTCCGTTATTCATGACTTTTCTGACGATCTTTTCGCCCTTGATATGTGGTGATTCCAGCAAGAACCTGAGGGTTTCATGGTTGATTGTGGAGCTGTCCACCTTGGAGAGTTGCTGTTTGCTGAACTCGAGGTGGTTTGAACCATGGTGGAGAAGCGGCGCTGGAAAGTCGCTGCCATTCTTGGTGCCGAGTTCTTGGTTCCTAGCCGAGGGGGATGTGAGAGGGGGAGGAAGGATCGGGGGGCGGGGTGGGGTGGGGAGGATGGTGGGCCTTTTCGGTGACTATTGGGGAGTTGGTGGGGAGGGGTGTTGTGAGGGGTGGTGCAGTTTTCTGTGATCGCTTTCTAGTTTTACCGTGAAAAAATTGACAGGATGCTGCCTGCTATTTTATTGCGTTATGTGTGTGAACTTGGGCGTCGATTTCTCTTTTCGTTTTTTTTTTTTTTTTTTTTTTTTTTTTTCCCCCGTGATTCGAAAGCTTGCTGATTTCGCTGCCTGCTTGATTGGATGAGAGATCCCCTTTTTTCTCTTTTCTGTTCTTTACGATTCTACTGGTGCTCGAAGGTGGAGGCGAGGTCTTATCCGGGGGTTCGGATCGTGCGGGCGGTTATGGGGGACGTAGCTGCATGCATGCAGCGTACGTGGCCTGGTCGGGACTGAGCCCGACTGGGGTTGGGGGGGGGTAGGAG